TTTAATGCCGTGATCACAGTCCTGTCCACTGCTGGCATTTACACACATCTGATACACTGTCGCTTCAGATTCAGTCGTTTAAAAGTAACTGTGCTCGAGTTTCTTTCAGCCAAAAACCACGAGAGTCTGCAGCGGGATGCCTCCCTCTCCTGTCTCCTAATTGCGTTCAAGAACTCTGACAGGATTCCACATGAGTTTCCTCAATTGAACCACAAGTGAACAGTTTAAACGCTGCGGACATCCGCTGCAGACTCTCGTGGCTTTTTGGCTGACAAGGAAACTCGAGCACACAGTACTACTTTTACGACTGAATCTGAGCGCACAACGTGCTATCAGATGTGTGTCCAAACTGCCTCAAAGCAGTGGACACAGGACTCGTGATCCGGCATCTAACCTGCTCTCGCTGTGATTGACTCTGCTCGCCAAAACAAAAAAAACCACAAAAAAAAAAAACAAAAAGGCAAAAAAAAAAAAAAAAAAAACAAAAACAAAAAAAAAAAAAAAAACAGCGACTGCTGCAACACTAATCGACTAATGTGGTTTCTTAACACACGGGCCAGCATTTCAGTGAAGCATGCCCCTCAACATAGTCTTAAGACTACAAAGGTCGTCAATGACTCGGATCTTCTGGGATACACTCTTTCCTCATTAAGCGGTGAGTAGATCATTTTCTGGAAATTAAGCCATTTTCATTGTGTCCCACTGCCGTCATCTATACTTTCATTTTCATTTATTTATTTAGAATTAACTGTAGTTTGATTAGCTGATTTAACAGAGCTGAATGAAGAGATATGCGGTCTCCAGTAGAATAATTAATTTGGTTCCATAGGTTAAAGTCACTGGATCACTATTAAGACTTGCAAATGAGAACTAATGCCAAATCTTCAATATACAACTTTTAGATAGATGAGACTAGATAGATAAAGATGATCGAATACAGATACGATAGATATACTATTATTGCATCCCAAGCTGGGCAAGACTTCAAGCAGATTACAATTTAAAGTGTTTTTAAGCTCTCCAAATTAAATTTCACTAGCTGATATTGAGCTTCTACTCTGCTCTGACTGCGCTGATTTTTGCTGTTATCCTCTCTGTGTCACTGATTGTTAGATACGGGTTATAACTTTAAACTAAAGTCGGTTGTGTTAATTTGAATGGGATTTTTGCTATATATTCCTAAATTTTTATGGTGAGAAGAAAAAAGTATAAAAATCACCATGTTTCTTATGACCCCTTCGGAGCTTTCTGGTGCAACTTTTAAATTTTTCATGTGCTCTGTTTCAGTCTAGTTACTGTTGCGTGTATCCACGCTAGACCGGCTGCGTATTTATAGTGCTTTGGTCTCATCTTTTTATGGATGCTTGACCGGCTGTTACTATTGTTTGGGTACCAGTTACGCTCAATCGCACGCATCATATTGACATTGAAGATCACAATCGATGAGGAGCTGTATGGGGCAGTTACCTGGAACTAAGGTTGTCTCATGACATATAGTGCAACATATATGACAGCTGGGTTTTCTTTTCTTTTAGGGGGGGGCCGGGCGGCGGAAAATCACAATACAGTAACCTATATTATTTTTTATATTCCTGATACGGTACTATTTACGTGTCCTGTGGTAGCTCAACTGGTGAGTTTGCACAGTGAACTTTCTTGGTATTTTTGTTATCTATATTCCCTGCAGGGATTTGTTGGGCTATTTCTATAAGTTTGACATTGGCACTGTATCAGAGGTTTTGTTTTCCTCCTCCGCAAGGTTCCCTCTTTTACATTCTGGCAGCGAGGCCGAGCAATTCACCAATTATTGAAGCCCAGCATTTCCATCAATTCGAATCATGCTGCTCGAACACCATCGACAGCACACTCTGCAGGAAACGGCAGCAGAAGCGACCATCAACGGCTGCAACAGTTATTCCAACTACTGCACCACCACATACCCTCCAGCTTTACAAAGTAGGTCTCCAGCACAGTCGTGTCAAGTGAATCGCACAGAGACAGAAACTCCTGCCTATCATCTCAGAAGAAGAGAACAATATGGTCATACTGTCGATGTTCTTTGCTCTTTCCCTCTTATTGTAATTGCCATCCACATCAGGCACTTTGTATCTGCTGTTATAGTTCCTGCGCCCATTCGTTTTTCTAATTTTTCACCATTAGGAGGATCGTATCTATGTTTACTGGCATTTAGTCTTCTCATTGCTCCATCTTAACATTTGGAGCAGAGCCTGGCAATTCCAACTATCACCTGAAGCCAGCATTTCCATCAGTACAAACTCCAATGCTGCATCCGCTCCTCCAAGCCGCTCTGAAACAGAGGCCCTTACAACCACAGTGACGCTACATCCCTATCATCTCCAGTTAAAGTAAGTCTCCAGCAGCCGTGTCATGGTAAAGAATGCAAGAGAAGGGTTCAAGCTCATTGTCGAGCCATTTTCAGTCGCATTCAACTGTATTTTTAGATAAAACTCCATTGCAGGCCCTCAAATTGCTTCGCACAGTCGGAGTCCTCCAAAACACTGTACGAAGCTCCATTGAGCTGCAGTGCAAATCAACAACCATGCAAGACAGGTGGCGCTCGCAATGATAATTGATTCCTCTTAAGCCGTGCAGTATGGGTTAGCCATTGTGGTAAATTCAAAGATTATGACAGTAACATTGCCATTTCACAAAAGCTCACCGTACAGTATCAATTGACCCTTCTGCCTATAAGGCTGTTTTGTGTTCAATGTTCTCCTCCGTTCCAACTAGCCAAAAATCACATGCGAAAATGCCAGAAGAGGGGCTCTGTAGGCAGATGCCCAGGACAACAGAGGGCCTTATCACAGAGTCTGAAAGAAGGAGAACAAATACATTGTAGGCCGTGCAATCCAAAAGCCATGTTACCGTTGCGACATGGAGTGTGTCGACGAAGGCTCGATAGCATGCAGCATCTGTATGGGATGTTCATCCCTCCTTCCCAGTCTGAATGCCACACTATGTACATCTGTTTCGACTGCTTGGGGAAACACTGACTCTATTGTGTTGAGTCGTCTATGTAGGCAATCGTCTGACATGTACAAGCTTATCGTGTAAGAAATGTCCTGTTTTCGTCTGGGCGCTTCATTTAATCAGATCTTTCGTCCGAGTGAAAAAACAGAGATACGTTGCTTAAAGGCTTTAATTTCTGCCTAGAGGAAATGTGGTTACCTGCAGGGATGTGCTCTCTCTCTGAGTCCTAATGTGGATGATGGATGGAGAATTCCTTTTGTTCCCTGCAGCGTCTCCAAAACTGGACTTTTCTTCTGACTCTAATTGGTCCCTCCCAGGTAAAAGTGAGAGATGTAAGCCACGCATAAATCCACACGCAACTGTAAACTGCTAAAAGGCTTTCAGTCTCACCGCTTGGTGCGTGGGTCGTCAGCTTCTAGGATTTAGTACAGTGCTGTTGTTTCAGGTCTCTGCGGGCTTAATGCCTATTTTTAGAGTTATGATATTCACTGTCGGTCGCGCCTGGCTGCTGTATTTCGGAACCAATATGCACTTTGATTATACTTTGAATATTGTAATCTTAGGGTTGAATTCATCGCACTATAGCCTGTGGTTTCTCAAACCCTTTTTGGGTGTCAAGGCCTCCCAACATTAAAACAAATCAGGCGGCAAACCTAAATTTGATAAGATGTTCGCCTGTCCGCATCCCCCGCTGATGAGATTTAGTTATTCTCTGTCTGTATTAGTAGATTGGCAGTAATTAACGAGTGAACGAGTGTGAAACCTATAAA